AAAAAAAAACACATCATAGTAAAATTAATACCTTCTCCGCTTCGCATCGAAGCTAAAAATCATGATAGCTTTAATCAAAGTAAAAATTGGGTATCAAAGTTTCTTATTAATTATCTAGTGGTTAAATTTCTAGAGCTTCTTAAAGTTTGTAAAAATTAAAATTTTTACTTTTATATTATATGTTAGTTATTATTAATATCAAACATCAGTATTTATTATTAAGGATAGATGAAATGCAATCTGTTCATACTAAATATTAATTATTAACACAATTTTTCCCTTGAAAATTATCATCACTTACACTCAACAAGTTTACAAAAAAAAAAATAACGAAAAATATTCAAATTCTAATATTAACAAAAATTTAAATTATAACTTTTAATTTATTAGGCTCTTGAAGGAGACTATCATTATTATGTGTGGCCAGCATCACCTGTACTTGCATGGATTTTATGGGTACATAGATATGAATTACCAGGAAAAAGAATTCTCGAGGTTGGTTCTGGTACATCATTACCTGGTATTGTTGCAGCTAAGTGTGGAGCTATTGTAACACTGACTGATGATCCTTCAGTTCCAGGAACTATTAAACATATACAAAAGTGTTGTTACATGAATGGGCTTTATCCTGAACAAGTAATATTTTTCAATAGTATTACTTATAATAATGATATTTATTTTATAGTATTTATTTACAGATTAGAGTTGTTGGATTACCTTGGGGATACTTTTTTCGCGATACATTGAATCTTGGGCCATTTGACCTAATAATTGGCTCAGATTGTTTTTATGAACCTAATATCTTTGAAGATTTAATTGTTACTATATCATACCTCTTAGAACGTAATCCAATGGCAAAATTTATGACGACATATCATGAAAGAGACTCAGAATTTAGTATTGATGAACTAGCTGCCAAATGGAAACTCAATTGTACCCATAAATCTCTTGAAGATTTGGGTAAAAACAATGAATTAGATGTATATGAATTAATGAAAGGCAATGATATTCATCTTGTAGAGATCACAAAAAAGACTATATAAAAAAGTGACTTAAATGTCTTTGTATACATCTATAAGATGTAATATAATTTAAATATTTTTATTTTATATGCCACTAAATTCCGTCCTTTATGTAAATATTTATGTAACTATAATATTTATGTGTAAATTATATGCATTTATTTTTTGGAAAAATTAATTATTTATTTTATGAAATTGGAAGTCATGTTTTAAATATATCATTTCAAAATACGTGTTATTATAACAATTTTAAGAAACTCTTAGATTATTCCACGAGCAACATGAACTTCTATTTTCTTATTAATACTTGAATATTAGAGTAATCAAATTTAGTATAAAATTCATAATCAATAATTTAATATTATAATTTTTATGGAGAAATTATAATAAGTTATAAAGTTGTTGCCTACAGATAATTCTTTTAATATTAATCACTCGATTTCTGTTGAAATAATAATTATGTTAAGAAAATAATTTTTAATATTTTTTAGTTTCATATATTTTTTGATTTAAGTTATTAATTATTTTTAATTCATCTCTTATACATTATAAGGTTATTAGCTTTAATTTTTATAGCAACATAAATTTTTAATTTTCTTATAAACTAAGAAATAATCTAATTAAGAAAATGACTTGTCAATAACAATTTTTGAAACAATATTATGTTATTAATATTTTTAAGTATAGTGAAACATAGTTAAATTTAGAGTAGACAAAGAGCGTGACAGAACGATGTATAATGAAAAAAATAATATACAATACCTACAATTTTTGAGGGTAATATCTTCAACTAAATACTAATTGTAATCATTTGACGTATCGTTGAAAAAAGTAGGTTAAGTGAGGGTTAGAAAAATAAATCGCGTCTTCAAAAAATACAGTAAAAAAATATTAACATGAATGAAAAATTTCTTCTCACCAGGGGAGACTATAGTGATGGGATCCTTGATATTTATTGAAGTTATTGAATCTTAATGAGATAAAAATCAAATGATTTGAAAATTTTTTCTTACTCAAATAAATTGCGAAACATTAGTTGCCACAGGCGGATTTGAACATCGAATCATAAGCGTGAAATACACAAGTGTTTTTTCTTTTTATTTTATAGTATATGACATAACCTTTGATTTGATATATGTTGAAAGGACGCAGTCTTTCCGGAATAATTTTAAAAGTTAAGTTGAAAAAGTTAGTTTTTGTAAAAAAATTGCTATTTTAAATCGCCCCCTATGAGCAGAATAAGTGTTAGATTTTCCAAAAAAATTATATCAAATGAAAGAAAATTACATAAGGTATCAATATAAAAAAATATTATTTTGATTTGTTAATATTTGAAAAAGTTATGGCAGTTTTATGTACAAAAAACATCCCGATAGAAAGTAATTTTTATTGCAAACATTACATTTTTTGTTAAATTTCGGCAGCCATTTGCAAATATAAGATTAATTGGGTTTAATTTTGATATATGTTTAAAGAACGCAATATTTCCGGAATACTTAATTCCAATAATTCATTTAATTTAACTTAAGTTAAGTTGAAAAATTTAGGTTTACAAAAAAATGATATCAAATGAAAGGGAATTATCTAAGGTTTCAATATAAATAAAAGTTATGTTGATTTGTTAATTTTTGAAAAAGTTATGCTAGTTTTAAGAAAAAAAAAAAATTGAAAAAATGACAAAATTTACAGATTTTAAAAATTGTAATTTTTTTGGAGATTTCTCCCATTTACGAGGAACGAGGGAAATTGTTTCAATTTTTAAGGGCAATGTCTTAAACTAGATACGATTTGTGATCTTTTGATGTATTGTTGAAAGAAATCCGTCCAGAGAGAGCTGAGAAAAAGTGGCAACAGACAGACACAAAAAAAAAAAGCACATGGTAATATTAATACCTTCTCAGTTTCGCATCGAAGCTAAAATATGATCATTTGGTTTACAGTTGATAACGTATTGTTACGAACAACGTTGTCACAAATTGTCTATTATTACCAATACTTTATGAAAATGAACTCATTTGGAAATGTAACAATTTATTATATTTTTACTTAGAGATTGAATTTTCAGTGTAGAGAAAATTAAATTTTAAACCAAACTAAGAAAACATTTATTACTACGTTCTTACTACTTATTATACATGTCATATTTTCATTTACTTAATTCGTAATACGTTGTAACGTAATTAAATTATGAGTATAAGGTCACAGGTAAATATATTCAAAAAGTGCGCGTCATACATCTATAGGTTTAGTGTTTCACATATACACACAGATTTATTAGTAAATTAATAAATTGTTTCTACCACCTGTGATTCTCGTCTTAAATACCTCGTCTTAAATAATATTATAGTTGTCAACAGTCAACTAACGTTAATGGTCCACTATCATCTATTCTTCCCCGTGTGACATCAAACCGGTTTGAAAAATGGTACGGTTATGTTTGAAAAAATGAATGACCTTTGACATAATATCATTGTTAATTGTTTTCTGCTGTCTGTCAAAATAAAACAAATATAGAATAGTGAAAATTTCATTTTTGGCTTGGCCAAAATAATGGCATCGCATGACAAACAAAATAATAAATTGGACATCTCATTATCTCGACAATTGTAACATGGTATATTGTATTTTTTTTGTTGTTTTCGCACAGTGTGCATATTTTAATTCAGCGTTTTCTTTTGGTTAGTTGACTACATGTATGTGGTCATATTAATTAAATTTAAGTTAATGACCATGTATGAGTTAACTATATATTTTATTCTATGATTTTTTTTTTTCAATCTTTAGGTTGGTTAATACCAATTGGATTAGTATAGCCTGGGGAAATTTAAGTACAGTGGTTTCCCGTTGCCTTCTGCACTAGGAACATGGTGCTCTAAGTCACCGTAGAAGCGCACATATGGTCACTAGGGTGGCCCTCAAAAATCGTATGTCTTTTTTTTTTTTACGCTACTCTTTACTTTTTTTTTAATGGTCAAAAACATGAGCTGTGCAAAATTTGGGACCGATCCGTTAAGGTTAACCCGTGCCCCCGGGCCTATTAAGTTGAGTCGAAGAGTCAATATAATTATCGTACTTGGCATAAAAAATTTAACTTCTAGAATCTTTTTTTAAACGAATATGCGTTTTCCAAAAAATAAAATGAAAATAAATAATTAAAAATCAACAAAATCAGTTATAACGTATTTTAAGACTTTTACATGTTTTTTACTGTATGTAGTGTTTTTGTGGGCTATTTATTGAGAAAACAACATTGAAGTTATTATTTTTGAATTTCTTGTAAAATTTCCTTTACTTGAGTTTTACTTTTATTATTCTAAGTTAAGAGAAAAAAAAGTTATGAGACATAGATCAGTTATTTCTATTAAATTTGACTCTTCGACTCAACTTAATAGGCCCGGGGGCACGGGTTAACCTTAACGGATCGGTCCCAAATTTTGCACAGCTCATTTTTTTGACCATTAAAAAAAAAGTAAAGAGTAGCGTAAAAAAAAAAAAAGACATACGATTTTTGAGGGCCACCCTAATGGTCACCCATCCGTTTACCTACGAAGATAGGTGAACGGTTTCATTATTATGAATAATGGTTAATATTTTTTTCTCTCATTCTTCTTTCCCCCTTTTCCATGAGCTGACAGTTCCTAGGATGTAATCAGGATGGACATGTTGAACATCTCATTGATCCTTTACATATATGTAGCGGATATCCATTGACGTCGGTGACATGTCAATTATATCCTGACACATGCGTTGGATCTGCCTTGCTCATGTTTTCCTCCTTATTCTCTCATTTGATTTGTATTGTTGTACATTGAATTTACAATTTTAATTATGTTTATGATCTTGATTTAATGATTCATTAAAATATTTAAAAACAACTTTGTGTAATAATTTATAACTTTTAAAACTGGTAATTATGAATATTTAGTTTATAATTATTCTAATGAATTAGAATACACAGAATTCTTCTTATTTATCCACGCCTTTATTCCAACTAATTTAATAGTTAAACATAATATTCACATTATACTATAAATAATTTATTAAAATTATAAATCTGAAAATTTATGTGTCCCAAATGATGCAAGAATTTTTATAAAAACAACAAAATATGCATAGTGTAGAAAAATTATTTACTGGTTCTTATGTTCACTTAGAGATAGAGATCATATTATTATCAAATCTTATACATTATCATAATACTGAAAATAATATATCAGATTATACATTAAAATAAATATTAATATTGATAGACTTTCAACAGCAAACAGTTCCAAGTCATCATTACCTTTTGTTTGGTATATTATTTATAAATTTGACCCTTTACCTGCCCACAGGGGGCATTTAAAATGACAACTTTTTCACAAAAAACTAACTTTTTCAACTTGACTTTTGAAAATGTTCCGGAAAGTCTGACACTTTTATATATGTCTTAAATTAAAGCTAATGTAATATACTTTATCATGGAAAAAAAAAATTTCGGACTTTATTTTATCTTCACGGTGAAAATGGCTACCAAATGCTATTTTTGTGTGAAAATTCTCGATTTTATTTTTTACATTTTTTAACTTTATAGTGCCACAACTTATTGAAAAGTGTATGGATCAACACAATTTTTTTATTAGAAATAATATTTATATCCCTTTTTCATTCGGCATACTTTATCTTAATCAGGATATTAATAAGGAACTAGCAGATCATGTAGCTTTTGGAATAATTCACCAAGTTTTTAAAATTAAACACTATCTAAAGATTTGCATCGATGCGATTCTTATGATAGTAATTTTAATCACTGTCAGATATCATGTATACTTGTCCCAACTATGTCATGTCACCACTGTGCTGCAACCCTCCTGTGCTGGGTTTTTATTGATTAATAATACGTAACTTCATAATCAAACATAAATATTTGTTTTATAAGAAGGATTTTGTTAATATTTAGTTCATATGCGAAAGTCTACCTTTGTGTTAGACCAGGCCAAACAAATTTAGATAGAATTTTCAACGACTTGTTTTTTTTTGTTATGATTTATTGAAAGTAAGAGTACCAGTTATACAAGAATATTAAAAAAATTAAGTAAATTAGCCCTCCCAAATTTAGTTATCCACTATTCGAAAACCAAATGGTTCTATTATACCATGTACATAGAAGATAGTACATTTAAATTTTCGCTTTAAAGGTTTG